TTCTCTATTTGTATAAGTATAAATAGCTGAAATGTTTTGCATTGCCATTTGCATCATGCATTGAAATGAAGTACTCGATGTATGCACAACTTCCCATTCTGCCTTTCAAGAGAGCGGGTTACGTATTAATGATGGCTCGTTCAAAGGAAGACAATACTATAACCCTCGTTGCCTCAGCTGTCATTGTCTTTGTCGCTGGGATAATCATACACGCATTTGTCATTTTTGGGAACATCGTTGACTGGATGAGAGGAAGACCACTAGCTTCTACTGACCAGATTATCACCTCCCTCGAGATATCAAGGGCCATCTTCCTGTTATCCTGCTTGTTTGATGCCGTTTGGAACTTTTTAGTAAAAAGGGCGATAGCAGTTAGAATTCTCTTTCAGTTTGTCCGGGTTACTTCCAACTACTCCTGTGTGTGGTTTTTGACTCTGCTCTCCGTAGTCTTCTGCTTGAAGATTTCCATCTTCCACAATGTTTTCTTTCAATGTCTGAGGAGCGTCATATCTCCAAGAGTCACCCATCTGATTGTCGGTTCCGTGTTGATATCAGCCCTTGAGGCCTCGGTGAATATCTATATTGCTAACTTTGAATTGGCAAAAAATGAGACTGTTGATTTTACACTCGATTTCACCCATCTGAACGTTCAGCTTTTCTTGCTATGGAATATGACGCCATTCCTAATCTACCTCATGGCAGCTGTCCCTCTGATTGCCTATCTCTGTCTCCATGTCAGGAGAATGAAACGTGAAACCAAGACAACTCACCTGGATTCCTACTACAAGGCTATATGGTTTACCACCGTCTCTTTCTTCAGCTGTGTAATCCACATTTCTGTAAATGTTAATCCGGCCAATTTTGCTTCCGTCATTGACGTGGCTTGGCTTTATGTTGTTGTGAATATTCTTCCCATTTTTCATTCTATTTTCCTGATCTTTGCTGTTAACAAACTTCATAAACAGTTGTCCTGGATTCTTCAACAAGGGACCAAACGTTGCTCTGTTATTAGAGGTTCTGGGACCCGTTGTGACAATCATTGAAGATTTTCTGGGCTATTAGCTCACAATCTTTTCTTAGGTCAGATTGTAAAAATCTCTCATAGAAACAAATATGTTAGTTCATACCATTGTAGGGGATTGTTGGGTTGGTGTTGTGTCTAGTCTTTAAGTGTACAGTATGTTAGGAAATTAAAAAAAACAAGCAGTACGTCTCTGCAATTTTAGGCACAACTAATATAGTGGCTAATGAGACATTGCCAGTCTTCTAATTAATCAGACCACCGTTATGAAAGCTGTAAGTGTGACCCCGAGTACAACCATGTGCACAGCACAGATTTATGTGGATCTACGGTGGATGCCCGTGTGCTTTGTTGCATGTTTTACCATACAGCTGCTTCAGTCTTTTGTTGTCAGCTGTAAACTGCAATTTGTGTTGTGTTCAGTGGGTGTTATTGAGGTTAAAGTAACACGAGCAACAACATGAACATGCTCCATAGACATTTGGCTTAGAAGGTCTTGTAGGCAGTAATAGCACACATATAAAATGCATTGTTCGAAGTATCCTAATTGAATGCAATAAAGTAATTTTATGAATTGGTTTTGATTGTATTATGTTTATTGGAGACAGTATAAAAGAAGGAAGTATGCAGAGGAGATTATAAAAGGTGAGGGACAGTAATCTGCTGGGAAGAGTGATAGAGAAAAGACTCCTAAAGGGGGAGGTTGCATGCCAACACTCCACAAATCTGTCTTGGCCCAAATGTGCCTCTGCGTTCCATTATCACTTCTGTCATGTTTTAGTTTAGTCACACTCAGCAGTTCAATCTATTCTCCACTATTCCTGAGTCCTGTTTAC